AGTCTTGATGAAGACTTAGCAGGGGAATAAAAAAGAGGTAGACAAGGCACATAGCCTAGTGGGGCACTATCCATAAAGTCGGAATAGAGAGGAGAGGGTTTCCTTTGGCATAGGAGCAACCTTTGGAGCTTTAGTCTCCTTGGCACCTCTCACAGAGCGTGAGGGTAGAGATGGAACCCCCTGTCCGTTAAAGGATGGGACTGGTTCTTGGTAAACATGAATTTTAAATCCATGTTGATCATTTTGAACACGACGAATCACATCGTGTTCCAAAGAAGGAACACGAGGGTCGTGTTTAGCTTGATTAACGCAAGACCAAAGTCTGCGTTTTGCTAGTGAAACGCAGTCCTGCGATCTGCGTTCGGATTCAGAAACGCACTCCTGAGAGTTGCGTTCAGTTTGTGAAACGCACTCCTGAGAGTTGCGTTTGAGTTCTGAAACGCACTCCTGAGAGTTGCGTTTAGCTGGGCTTTTGCAGAGCTCATGTTGAGGCTCATAAACGCGGAGTTCGCGTTGATTGGAGGATCGGCTTTTTTGGCGTTGTGCCGAAATCGAGTCTTCTCCCTTAGGGAGGGGACTGTATGAACAGTGCAACCCCCATGGGAGATAGTCTTTAGATGATTTGGCTACAACTGGGGGTTTAGTCTCCTCGAAAACTGTGTGGATCTTACGTATAGCCTTGGGGCTAAGGGATCCGGAGGAGAGGGCCTCCTCGTATTTGGCTTGATCAAACTCGATAATCAGAGTTTCAACGGTCGTTCCAGTGAGATGAACGTCGGATTGCACCACCACTTCTTTGTCAGAGAAGCTAGTCCCCAGCGGAGTCGCCATCTTTTGTTTGTTGGAAATTTGCAGTAAAAAGACAGTGAAAGAAAATTTGACTTGTATTCCTCTCAAAATCAATTACAATTTGGATTCCGATTACAAAAGAGAGGAGAATGAATTTGATTCTCCCCTTTGTTTAATTCTGGGTTCTTCACGGTGGCGATGAGATGCCTCCCTCGAATGCTCGCGTCGAGTTTGCTTCTCGTTGACGATCCGAACGTCTTGATTCACTGGAACGATGTCTTCTCCTCACGATTTGACGCTGTGGAGAACTTGCGTGGCAAGTTTGAAGATAACTCTTGACGAGTTGATAACTCTGAACGAGTTTTAGAAGAACTTGCAGAGCAAGTTTTGAACTCTGATCGAGTTGATAACTCTGACGAGTTTTAGAAGAACTTGCAGAGCAAGTTTTGAACTCTGATCGAGTTGATAACTCTGACGAGTTTTAGAAGAACTTGCAGAGCAAGTTTTGAACTCTGATCGAGTTGATAACTCTGACGAGTTTTAGAAGAACTTGCAGAGCAAGTTTTGAACTCTGATCGAGTTGATAACTCTGACGAGTTTTAGAAGAACTTGCAGAGCAAGTTTTGAACTCTGATCGAGTTGATAACTCTGACGAGTTTTAGAAGAACTTGCAGAGCAAGTTTTGAACTCTGATCGAGTTGATAACTCTGACGAGTTTTAGAAGAACTTGCAGAGCAAGTTTTGAACTCTGATCGAGTTGATAACTCTGAACGAGTTTGAACTCTTGAAAAAGAGTTGATTTGAACCGAAAGTCGGTTATAAGCCACAAGGAAGAAGCTCCTGTTGCTGGTCTCCAAAACTCCTTGGAGTTTGGGACGCATGGTTGAGTTTGTTGAAGAACGCACGTTATGTGTGCGTTTGTGCTTTAACTCTGCGTCACAGAGTTAGATGTCTGCTGGAAAACGCAGAGTTAAGCCTGTTTTAGGCTGAAAACGAACAGTTCGTGCTGTTTTAGAGATGAACTCTGCGTTTTAGGCTGAAAACGCAGAGTTGTGCCTGTTTAAAGGCTGAAAACGCACAGTTCGTGCTGTTTATAAACGCACAGTTGACCTGTTTCAGGCTAAAAACGCACAGTTGAGCCCATAAACGCACAGTTGACCTGTTTAAAGGCTGAAAACGCACAGTTTGTGCTGTTTCAGAGATGAACTGTGCGTTTTAGGCTGAAAACGCAGAGTTGGGCCTGTTTAAAGGCTGAAAACGCACAGGTCGTGCTGTTTTAGAGATGAACTCTGCGTTTTAGTCTGAAAACGCAGAGTTGGGCCTGTTTAAAGGCTGAAAACGCACAGTTGTGCTGTTTTAGATATTAACTCTGCGTTTTGATGTTGAAAACGCAGAGTTAAGCCTGTTTGAGGCTGAAAACGCACAGTTGTGCTGTTTTAGAGATTAACTCTGTGTTTCTAGACTGAAAACGCAGAGTTGAGCCTGTTTAAAGGCTGAAAACGCACAGTTGTGCTAACTCTGCGTCACAGAGTTAGATGTCTGCTGGAAAACGCAGAGTTAAGCCTGTTTTAGGCTGAAAACGCACAGTTGTGCTGTTTTAGCGATTAACTCTGCGTTTAGATGTTGAAAACGCAGAGTTGAGCATGTGCGCTTTGACTCTGTAATGCAGAGGCGAACCTTAGGCGGGCTTGGCGGGCTTCAGGCTAAGTAACTCTGCGTCACAGAGTTAGATGTCTGCTGGAAAACGCAGAGTTAAGCCTGTTTTAGGCTGAAAACGCACAGTTGTGCTGTTTTAGCGATTAACTCTGCGTTTAGATGTTGAAAACGCAGAGTTGAGCATGTGCGCTTTGACTCTGTAATGCAGAGGCGAACCTTAGGCGGGCTTGGCGGGCTTCAGGCTAAGTCCAATGTTCTGATGAAGTCCAGTCTTGCAGACGGTCTTCAGAACATTACTTGCTACGAAGAACAGGTCATAACTTTCAAACCGTACGTCGGAATTGGACGAATTACATATGAAAATCGGCTATCTCGACGAGACGGGGCCATCCGAACCGAGCCGAAGGCTTCGGTTCGCTTTCTCCGTTTTGCCAAATTCCTCACGGTTTGAGAGATATCTGCATTCTAATATGAAGAGACCGTCAATTTGTAGTCTCTTTTGCTAGAACTTTGCACAGATCGTCCTCTTGTGATCTTCGTCTTGGCTTCTTGTAAATATGAGAGTCGTCAGATTGTAACTCCCGATGTTGATTGTGAAGGCTGTTGAATTGGGGCTTTCATTAGTTGTTGTGAAGGTCGTCAGATTGTAACCTTCTACGTGAAAGTCCTCAAATTGTAGCCTTCTGGAAGTCGTCAGATTATAACTTCCATCATCGGTGTTTTGATGGGGGATAAGCTATCTATTGTGATTTTTAGACAGCCTACACGCACCACCCAAACCGGGGAAATAAGTAATCGAGCACACACAAACGAAGGAACTTCGTTACAATAAGGCCCTCAGGAGAGATACACCAGAGATCTCAAAAGACTCTTTTCGGTTTGATGTGCTGGCTCAGTTAGCCAACATCCCGGCCAGGATTATGCTGTTTGAGCTTCTGCATTTATCTCGATCGACGAGAGAAGCTCTTAGTGAAGCATTGACAGATAATGAGGCTTTCCTCACTCACTTTCCACCAAACCAACCCGGAGCAACGTTGGAAGAAACTTGCCCTCAATGTTGTTAAGTTTTTCGAGGAAGAATGCCACATATCACCTTTTCCCAAGAAGATATGCATGTGAGAAACCCAAAACATGATAGACCGTTGTACTTTGTAGGGTACATTGGTTCTATTCGGGTAGACAGAATTTAGGTTGATCCTGGTTCTGCTTTGAGCATCATACCATTAAGGCTCATTCATCACCTGGGAGTCCCTCCGCATCGTTTATCAATGACAAGAATGACCATCTATGGTTTCAATGCTTCCAATACTCGTCCCCTTGGTAAGATCAAACTCAAATGCCAGATGGGTGAATTGAGAACGGATGTTACTTGCTACGTCATCGATGCAGAGACGTCTTATAATTTATTATTGGGTCGACCATGGATCCATAACAATCTGATTGTTCCATCTACTCTACACCAGTGCATGAAATATGTAGATGAGGACAGTGAAGTCAAAATAGTGGTCGCAAAGAAGCAACCATTCAAGGGGTGGAGAATTATTTTATCGATTCTATTCATTACCTTGATGGTGAGCCATTTGAAGTACCACTGATTGAAGAACTAGATAGCGGTAATGAAGCCGATACCGAGTTTGAGCACGAACAGGGTCTTGTTTTTAATGACATAGAACCCGTCGTAATCGGTCTTGAAGGTCTAGGTGTAAATGAGCATGTCTACGAAGACAGCGGAGTTACCTTCAATAATAAAGATGATTTAGCTTACTTATCGCGTGTTGAATTGAGTCATAATATGCCAGGTACAAGCGTCAGCATGATAGCGGATCCGCTATCCAAGTTATATGCTGAATCAAATTTAATGCCGATTCGGTCATCTTTTGTGACAAATCAATAGCAAATCGAATCTTCGCAAGCAGCCTTCATAGTACCAGCTAAGGTTAACGGCCAAAAAGACATCATCTTTGGAAAATCCGCAATTCTCATACTTCACTCCAACAACCCGAAAGCTTATGAAGAATATGAGATATGACTTCATCCATAAAGAAGGCTTAAACTTCGGTAGAGGGATTCAGACACCAATCAGATCTTCTTATGTCCCGGAAGAAAAGTCGGAAGACTATTATCACAAAACTCGCAGTGGATTAGGTTATGAATCCCCATCATTTATGCTGTGTTTTGGAACCAAAGGAGAGTCAGATGACGATTCTTCCACATCATCTTCTGAATCTAGTCGTTGGGAGTCTGATATCAGTATAGGAACTATGTTCAGAACACTTATGGCCAACATGACTTCAACATCTCCAATAGAAGATCAAGAAGATGACCAATTACCCCTGTTCGATGATCCGCTAACTCGACAGCTGGGTATACAATGGGAACACCGCTTTGAATAACGCAAACATCCTACTGATGACAAAGTGATTCAAGTGAATATGGGAGACAAGATTAATCCAAAACCCATATTCATATGTGGTAGCTTGTCACCCGAAGAGAAGGAAGACCTCATTACTCTAATATGAGAGTATATTGATGTCTTCGCTTAGAACTACGAGGATATGCCAGGGCTTGATCCCCAAGTAGCTATGCATCGATCAAACATCAAACTAGGTGTCAAGCCTGTTAAACAACAACAAAGGTGATTTCGGCCCCAAATCATAGAAGCAATTGAAGCTGAAGTCAAAAAGCTCATCGAGTCAGGATTTATTCGCGAAGAGCAACATCCTGATTGGGTGGCCAACATCGTCCACGTTCTAAAAAAGAATGGGAAGATTAGAGTGTGCATCGACTTCCGAGACTTGAATTCGGCTTGTCCTAAAGATGATTTTCCTTTACCTATCACGGATGTCATTATTGACAATACGTGCGGGTTTGAAAGGATGTCTTTTATGGATGGATTCTTAGGGTACAACCAAATCAAAATATATCCTGATGATGAAAAACACACATCCTTTCGAACACCTTCAGGGATATACTGTTATACAGTAATGCCCTTTGGATTAAAAATGCAGGTACTACCTATCAACGTGCTATGACGTTTATCTTTTAAAAACATCTACGAAAGACTGTAGAATGTTACGTTGATGACTTGGTTGTTAAAAGTCGTGACAAGGGAAACCATTTGCACGACTTGAAAATAATGTTTGATTTTATACGGACACACCAGCTGAAGATGAATCCAACTAAGTCATTCTTAGGAATAGCTAGTGGTAAATTTCTCGGAGTCGTGGTCACAGCTAACAGAATTTGTCTAGACCCAGACAAAGTCAAAGCCATCCAAGAGCTACCACCTCCTAGGAATCTTAAGGAGCTTCGAGGCTTACAAGGGCGACTGGCGTATATTCGTAGGTTCATTTCTAACATGTTAGGGAAATGCCAACCATTCTCAAAACTAATGAAGAAAGGAGTATCCTTCATGTAGGATGAGGCTTGCCAGAAAGCATTCGAGGAGATTAAATGATATCTCTCCAATCCACCGATATTGGTTGCACCGAAGTCAGGTAAGCCTTTCCTGATATACATCAGGGCTACAGATCATGCATTAGCAGGACTCTTAGCACAAGATGATGAAAATGGCCATGAGCAAGCTGTTTACTATCTCAGTAGGACTTTATTAGGTGCTGAACCTCGTTATCCTCTTACTGAGAAAGAATGTTTGGCACTGGTCTTTATGGTTCAGAAGATGCAATATTATTTGGTTGGGCAAACCATACATGTCATTTCCTAAATCAATCCTATTCGGGTATTCATGACACAGCCCAGTGCATTGAACTGGCGACCCACTAGATGGGCTTTGTTGCTTTCCCAATGTGACATTCACTTCAAACCTCAAAAGGCAGTAAAGGGTCAGGATATTTGTGACCTTATGTCCAATCATCCATTAAAAGAAAAGGTTGAATTATACCAGGACATACCAGATGAGACGTATAAAGCAAACGTCGTCTCTAGAGAGCAGGTATGGCAATTATACTTCGATGGTACAGCAAGGACAAGTCTTACCGATTGAATTATAGCCGGAGTGGGGGTTGTCTTTATCTCCCCCCAAAAGCATATACTCCCATGTGGCGTTTCTTTAACAGAGTCATGCTCTAATAATGTGGCTGAATACAATGCTTTGTTGGTTGGTCTAGATATAGCTAAACAGCTAGGGGTGAAATACCTAGAAGCGTATGGCGATTCTCAACTCATTGTTAATCAAATTAAAGGAGAATATGAAGTTAGAAATGAGGACCTCATTCCTCATCATACCACAGCAATCACATTGGCCGATTCCTTTGAGGGTTTCTACATCGACTACATACCTCATCTCAAGAATACCTATGCTGATGCATTAGCATCACTTATGGCTACCTTAGATCTACCTGAAAGAACTATCCAGCAAGTCACAGTGACAAGTGGACGATTATTCAAATCAAAGTATACATTACAGATAAACGCAATTAAATATGAGCCCACAATGCTCGAACCTAAGGATTAGCGATTTTTGATCATTGATTATGTCTTATACGGCTTATTGCCTGAAGATGTCAAGGAAAAAGAATCTATTTGTAGACGAGCACCTAGATTCTACTATGATTCTCAATCCTAGACTTTGTATTGAAAATCATACGATGGGCTTTTGCTTTGCTATTTGTCAAATAGGGAAGCAAAAGAAGCTCTTAAAGAAGCTCATGATGGCATCTGTAGAGCTCATCAGTCTGGTCCTAAATTGTGGGGCTGACTATGCAGATTGAGTTATTACTGGCCTAATATGGTACAAGACGTTGTCGCTTATGTCAAACGATGCCACACCTGCCAGATACACGCTAATTACATGCATCGACCATCCGAGCATCTTCATCCTTCAACCACTTCATGGCCTTTTCAAATGTGGGGGATGGATATTGTTGGCCTAATAACCCCATCATCTTCCAAGGGACATCGCTTTATTTTAGCAATAACTGATTGCTTATTTAAATGGGCAGAAGCAATCCTGTTGAGAGAAGTCAAGACAAGTGATGTTGTTAAATTCTTAAAATATCACATCGTATACAGGTACGGCGTTTCGATGTGTATCATTCATGATAATAGGCCCCAATTCTTTAGCTAAGCCTTTACATGATTCTGTGATAAATTCAGGATCAAGAATTTAGCTTCAACAGCTTATAATCCTACTGCAAACGGGCAAGCAGAAACATTTAATAAGACCATCGTCAGAATTCTCACTAAGGTGGTTTCGACGAATAAATAAGACTGGAACGAGAAGTTAGGTCAAAGTTTGTGGGCTTATCGTACAACGGTTCACACGCCAATAGGAGCGACATCATATTCCTTGGTATATGAATGTGAAGCCGTATTACCATTGGAAATCCAAATTTCGTCTCTGCGAATAGCACTCACAATTGGTATGACGACGGAAGAAAGTCATCGCCGGTGTCTTAAAGAATTGGAAGCGCTTGATGAAAAGCAATTATTGGCCCAGTAACACATTGAGCTTTATCAAGCTCGGATTTCTAGAGCATTCGATAAAAAGATTAGATACCACACATTCAAAGAAGGTGACTTGGTTCTCACCGTTTGATGCCTAATGATTTTGAACTCTAAGAAGAAAGGAAAGTTTGAGCCAAAATAGGAAGGACCATTTGTAGTAGAAACTGTCTACTCAAATGGAGGTTATCGTCTTATTACTCAAAATGGTGACAAACTCATGATGCCTATCAATGGCAAATTTCTGAAGAAATACTACCCATAGGCTTCACAGTCAGATATGTTTTACGGAAAGAATAAAAGCAAATAAAGGTAATGGTTTCCTTACTTCCTCTCCTTTAAATTTCCCTCGCTAATCCTCTTCAATAGGATAATGGGACTATAAAATTATCACGTCAATGGCTTCCTCTGATAGTTGATGGTTTTTGTTTAAAACATTATTTTTTCAATAGTAACCTACTATATGATGTGTTACTTCATTGTTTGATCTTCCTAACGTCGTTATTTTTCCCAAATGACGTTCATTTTCCTAACTTAGGCCTACCAAGTGATGTGCATTTATTTCTATCATCATCGTCATACTTCTAAAGTCACTGAACGATGTGATCTTCCTAACGTCGTCATTTTCCCCAAATGATGTTCGTTTTCCTAAGTTAGGCCTGATGTGCCTTCGTTTCTATCACCATCGTCATACTTCTAAAGTCACTGAATGATGTGATCTTCCTAACGTCATCATTTTCCCCAAATAACGTTCGTTTTCCTAACTTAGGCCTACCAAGTGATGTGCCTTCGTTTCTATCACCATCGTCATACTTCTAAAGTCACTGAACGATGTGATCTTCCTAACGTCATCATTTTCCCTAAATGATGTTCGTTTTCCTAACTTAGGCCAACTAAGTGATGTGCATTTGTTTCTATCATCATCGTCATACTTCTAAAGTCACTGAACGATGCGATCTTCCTAACGTCGTCATTTTCCCCAAATGATATTTGTTTTCCTAAGTTAGGCCTACCAAGTGATGTGCCTTCATTTTTATCACCATCGTCATACTTCTAAAGTCACTGAACGATGCGATCTTTCTAACGTCGTCATTTTCCCCCAAATGACGTTCGTTTTCCTAACTTAGACCTACCAAGTGATGTGCCTTTGTTTCTATCACCATCGTCATACTTCTAAAGTCACTGAACGATGTTATCTTCCTAACGTCGTTATTTTCCCCAAATGATGTTCGTTTTTCTAACTTAGGCCTACTAAGTGATGTGCCTTCATTTTTATCACCATTATCATACTGCCAAGTCACTGAACGATGTGATTCTCCTAACATTGTCATTTCTCCAAATGACGTTCATTTTCCAAACTTAGACCTACCAAGTGATGTGTATTTGTTTACTTTATTGATGTCATTCTAAATCATTGAATGACTTAATATTCCTAACGTCGTCTTTTTCACAAATGATGTTCGTTTTCCCAACGAGTCTACCATGTGTTGAACTTCGTTCTTAACACTTAATTATATTTTGAACCTCGTTATTGAAATTTTGATCTGAAGCCTAGAAGAGGCTAAGGATAAAAGAGAAATCTTAGCACTCAAGTCTAAGAGAAACTCTTTGACAACTCATCATACTGAGGGGAAAAGTATGGCTAGTCCAACTCAAATGACAGTTGGTAAAGAAAACTCAAGGCCGTTGATAGCTAAGGGTTTGCTAAAAATCCTAAGTTAAAATGCTTCAGTTACACAAAAAAGTAAGAGAACAATATGTGGATAAAATATAAATTTTATTCATATATAATTAAAAGTACAGAAACTCGAAGTACATAGATTGAACTTAGAAGACTCGAACTATATTACGAGGTTCAGTTACAAGTTCTTTCAGTTACAATACGAGGTTCAGTTACAAGTTCTTTCAGCTACACTACGAAGTTCAATTATAAGCTCCACGACCTTCGAGATTGCACTATGAGGCTCGTCCGCAACAACATCGTTGTCTTGTTGTTGAAGTTCCATCTTTCGTTCCTGGGCATGAAGTCTTCTCCATACCCAACTTTTAACTTAGGTGCTTGTAGCACACGCCTACCTACTTGGGTAAGCTGACTACTAATGGAAATACCACAAGCTCTAAGCATAGGATCAGTACTTCTCCCATCTCCGCAGAACATGATGGCAGCTCTAACATTATTGCTGACTCCTCTGAAAGGAAGCACTTCACTAAGTCTGTTAAGCTGCCATATAGACCGAAGTCCAGAGAAAGGACTATATGCTTGGGGGTACATGGCATGTCAAAACAGTAAACATACTTAGATTTAAGATATCTCTTTGAGGTTACATTCAAAAGTCTAACGAATTGCCGAAATGTATCCTGATTTCGACTCTGGAACACTGAGAAACCCTCAAATGAATGAGCTACTACAAAGACCAAGAGATCAGAGATCGGATCAGAAGAGTTACCCAAAGCGACATCATCATCAACTTTGCCTACCTCAACGACGATGATTATCGGAACTTGGAATTTAGTAGGAAGCGAAGGTAGGAGTCCTAAAATGCAAAGTTTCCTTTGAGTCATTTTCAAACAAGGCACAGAAGAGGAAGATGAATCCTCTTAAAAAACAACTGCCTATTTATAGGCGAAGGAGCCAACCAAGTGGCTGAGATTCGTTACACGAATCCCTAAGCACTGAACCGCCAAATGGTGCTGAGAATGAAGCGACGCAATCAATTGTGTTCGTAATTAGCGCCAACAAGGACGTGACATGAAGCGACGTATTAAGTACCCAATACTTGATGTCGATGAAATGAAGTGACGGATCCATGTGGATCAATAATCTGGGAACTATCGAAGATTGTCACGTCGTTTAATGAGATTTATTCTCGTTCCTAAGTCAAAAAAATGATGAATGTCGCTATTTCAATTAAAACTCAAATGTCGAGGTTCAACCAAGTAAAGTTGAATTTGAACCTCGTCTTCGACAAAGGCCATTCACTTGACGAAGGCCATTCACTTGGCAAAGGTCATTCACTTGAGATAAGCTGAATTTGAACCTCGTCTTTGATGAAAGTTTACTTGGTTAAAATTAGATCCGAACCTCGTCTTTGACGAAGGTCGTTCCTCTAATTAAGTTCAAGTGTTGAGACTTGATTGAACTTGGGTCTAAAACTCGTCTTCGACGAAGGTCAACTCTCTAATTAAACTCAAATATTGAGATTCGGTTAAAATTGGATCCGAACCTCGTCTTCGACGAAGGTCGTTCCTCTAATTAAGTTCAAGTGTTGAGACTTGATTGAAGTTAGGTCTGAACCTCGTCTTCGATGAAGGTCAGCTCTCTAATTAAACTCAAATATTGAGATTTGATTAAAATTGGATTCGAACCTCGTCTTCGATGAAGATCGTTCATCTAATGAAACGCAAGTGTCAAAACTTGATTGAAATTGGATTCGAACCTCGTATTTGACGAAGGTCATTCCTTTAATTGGATAAGGCTAGAACCTCGTTATGTCTGATTTAAAATACAAAGTGGAATTTGAATCTAACCACATATCAGAATGATAAGACTTATACTTGAAGTCTTAAATCTCAGGGCAATGAAGTTCATGAATTTTGGCATCAGATTATGTATAGAGATGCAAAGTAGAGCTAGTGGGCAAAAACAGCAGAAGTTCCACTTATATATAAAAAATGAGGGGGCTACAAAAGTCCGAGAAAAAAAATAGAGCTAAATGGATCCAACGGTCTGACGAATCTCTTCAGCAAGCTTAACTAAGGATTCTTGATGTTCTGCTTCAACGTCAGCCAAAGCACGTCTATGTAGCTCCTCATCAGAATAGGCACTCATATCATTCATAGCTTTTTCTAGCTGCTCCATTCGATCGAGTTCTGTTCGAAGCAAGGGCTGATGCTGCATTTATTTAGAGGCTAATGTATGCCTCATATCCATCATGCCTGCCAACTCTACCTCAGCCTCTGCCAGCTTGGTCTGAAGAGTCTTAAGTTGAACTTGAAGATGATCGACTTGACGTTGTTTTTGAAGTTTAGCGTCTGCAACTTTTTTACCCTCACGAGACGAATTCTCTTCGATCTCTTTAAGCTCCTTAACTCGTTGCTTGGTCTTAAGCAATTGACGATTAAGTTCGAATAAGGAGTCATCCCTCTGGCGTATAGTTCGCATTGCTTGTTCTTCAGCTAAAGGGTAGAGGGATCGAGACTGACGATTATGTCATTGATTGAAAAAATGTTCAACCTTGGTCAAGTGCAACCAGTAAGGCAATACCGCGAGATAGGAGGTCAAGTTCTTCATCAGGTCCAAGAAAGGCACCAGCACCTCTTTAACTCCTACAAAGTCTCCTCCGCGATCTAAGACCTGAGCAGAAGATTCTCTCAAAATGCTAAGGAAATTCTCTAATATTTTTGATACGGCAAAATTTCTCACCAAAACAAAAGGAGAAGAGGGTGTGCTGCTAGAGGACATCGTTTCATGAGGATCGACAGAAGAAACCGTAGATTCTGTAAAAATTGGCGGTGCAGTGTACATGATAGGAGTGTCGATAGTTGCAGCAACCATTGCAGTAGTGATAGGGGCCACAGTGACTGCAGTACTTAGCACGATGCGAGTCTCAATCATGACGACGGGGTTGGTAGACACAACACTTGTGGTCATGGTGGTTTCAGCTTCAGCCATGGCGGTCGAAGCAAGTTCTGCTCCCTCGGCTTCATCAGGATTAACAGTCGAATTATTAACTCGGCCTGTTTCCATAGCTGAACTCGGAGGCA